TTGATGTTGTTGAAAGCCTTACGGAGTCTAGTAGCTTCTGCTAGCTTCTCGATATTCTCATAGTGCTTACGAAAACTAGTTTAGGTTGTCTGATTATTGTCTGCAGTCGGAGACAATAATGGTACTATATTTGTTCCACCTACCAAAATATTTTGCTTTATTCAACAAAATTTTGTTTCTGCTTATAAATCAAGAGCGCTCATTATACCAGGAAACTACATGTATTTTACAATATGGCAGTAACCATGCTACGCAAAATGGAGATTTATAGTACATCATCAATAAAACGTATGTCCAATGGTATCAACTTTTAAGTTATTTGTAATATAGCAAATCAGAAATTTGCGGAAGAAGCTTAGTGTTTATAGTTGCGAGCCGGTTAATTTTTTAAAGTCGATGTACTTTTTCCTGCTGATCGAAGTTATCGAGAACATGAAATCTTGTATGCTAATAGTCAGAAAAATACACACCACTTGAAGTTCGCCAATTTTATTTACATTCCACAAGTCACATCTAGAAGCATTCACGCCTATATCTGTGACTCCGCCAAAAGGATGGAAGGTATCAGTACCGCTGTTTAGTTTCTGCAAATAAACTTAGTTATTTGAAAATTTGGGTAACTACGCGTGTTATTATTATTCACCGTATAAAGACTCCGTACAAGATGGCACAGGTACCAGTATCTTCTATCATCATTATACAACTTACCAATTACGATTATTGTGACCGCAGAGGATGACTCCGGTATATTCTCTTAGATATGAATCTCATTTTCAGCGCCTCTGGTAAGCTTAGCAGTCTTACTAGGGCTCCAGTGCTTAGTTCGGTTTCCATCAATATTTATGTGGAATAGCGCTTGAGTCGAAAATTACTAGATGGCTATATTATATCGAACCACATTTTAATGATTTTTTCGAGATGATAACGAGTAAAACTAGTGCCCTTGAGCAATATTCTTGAGTTTTGGCCCGGAATACCATCCACCATTTAACTACGGGCAACTTCCCTATGAATTTGCCACTAAAAAATTCGAATTTTGTGAAAAAATATAATATTATAAATAAATACGTACAGTAATGTGACGAATCATCTATTACATTTGGATACAATTCTCCAAAAAAGCTCGTACCGAGACAAAGCTATAGTTGTTAGTGTATACAGGGTATTATAAAACAAATTTTGTAAAATAAGTTGAAGCTGTTGGCAACCATAGTTGTCATTTCTCATAAATTTAGAATCTGAATAAAATATATTAAAGTAGGCTCGTGGGTTTAAAAAATTTTAATATCCCAACACAAATTTCAAGTTTTCATTTGTCTATATTTTGTTCTAAGGGTTGTGAGATATAATTATTAATATACGTAAATTTGACGTAAGAAATTAGTTGTCAAAATCAAAATGCATATCAACGGCACGCAAGTCTTAAAAGCTTTGCGAGAGCTAGTAGCGCCGTCCACTCCACAGGAAATCGCGCAGCACATAGCAAAGAAGCGTAAAAGACAGCCAGATCTCAAAAAACTGGAACAGGAAGTAGTTGAGGCGCTGTCGGGAGGACGAAAATTTGGATTTTTAGAAATGTGCAATGGACATTATTATAATTTAGAAGATACAGAGCGGGAGCTAAAACTAATAGAAAATGAAGAAAATAAAAAAAATAAAAAAAAGAAGGTAAGTCATATTGTATTAGAATATAATACAACTGATTTAAAATTAATTTTCCTTACAAAGCTGCCTCAAAACCTAGTATGGACTGACTCTGATACTAGTGACAATATTATACCTTTCTTAAAAAAGCGTAAGCGCTTTTATCGTGGCCATTCTTTTAATAAGAAAAAGCCATTTTATTTGCCACCGAAGAAACGTAAACGTCGACATATTTCGACAACACTAGATCAGACAAATTTCACAGTTATTCCGCAAGCTGCTCATTCCATGCCATCAAACAGCGTAAGATGTGTTGCCTCTAATGAAAAGCAATCTATCCGCAGTGATAATGCAAAGTATGACCTTGCAATGGGTGCAGAGATGGCTAAAGCAAAAATTGACGTCATAATAGATGAAATTGCAGCAAACTATTTGCTCTTTGAAGCACCGAGTTCGAGTTTTAGCAAGAACCACCGTACCTCCGAACTTTTAAAACAAAATGTTGAGAATCCAATTGCTTCTTTTGCTTTAAGAGAAGCTGCTACTGTTGTTAATTCTAAATTAGATGAAATTGTTGATAACATTGTGTCATGTTTTGAACAACAAAATATTGCTGCCAAAAAAAGCAATAAATTTCTTCAATTTATATCCAGCGACTCCAGTATTTCTTCCACCTATGAGATTCGTTCCAAAATGAGTACTCAGAACTATCTGAAGGAACACAATCGTGCTCAAAACTCTAAGCAGTTAATGAAAGATGAAGATGCAGCAATTTCAGAACTTAGTAACGCATTGCTTCAAAAAGGACGAGTCTATTTCGAAAACTCAGATAATGAAGAAGTTTTAATGGATTATATGTCATTGCCTGCAAGTGGATCGACAGGTGTGCGTGGCATGCATCAGACGCAAAACAGTATTCAAGTAGATAATCCACGCCATGATCCGAACGATGCAGTGGAAATTGGGACAGAACCGGAAGGCATCACGTATTTTTGGCCCCTATATGACTTTTGTCCACGTTGCTGGTTTGAAAACGGCAAGTGCCAGTGTAATTTAGTGTAATTTAGTGTAATTTAGACATGCTTGTAATTAATTTAAAAACTTTTTGGACAAAACTGAAATTTATTGTATCCGTAATTAAGAAGTAATCAATTCCCAAATTTATTGCTGCTATATAAATAAGTTGTCAATCAATATGTCTAAATTTAATTTTGTTTTTAAATTAAATAAAACACAACATAAAGTATTATATCTGAACGTTTTACAGCTAAATCTTTGTCTTAATTATTTTAATTGATTTGATAGTAACGCTGTTAGATAAAATATACAGTATGTCAAATAATTATACGTGCATTATTGTATTTTTGTATTGCATAGTAAATAATTATATGTGCAAAACACTTCTAGCTGGACATTTTTGAATATTGTGTCGCGGAGAACGGTTTATTTGCAGAAATTGGTTTGCACCTATACTGTAAATTTACTATTTATAAAAATTATGCTGAATTGTGATACAATAATTAATCTTACTAAGCTATACTGCCACGTGGTTCTAGTTTGTCTGATTACGAACAGGGAACCATCATGGAAATGCATGAAAACGGTTCCAAGATCGCCGAAATAGCGACTAGACTCAATCGGCATAGGAACTGTGTTTCCAGGTTCCTGAAAAACTCGGCCGAATACGGTACAGCTCCACGTAGTGGCCGGAAAACCAAAATCGATAACCGGTGTGAGCGCCGAATTCGACGTCTAGCAGTGGATGATTCGATGAGCAGCGGAGAAATAAGGGCCCATATGGCACTTCAAATAACAAGGAGTACAATTATTTAAGTTATTCATGAAAATCACATCATTAAACACAGCACAATGGTGCCTAAACCAAAGCTTTTCGAGAGGCATATCAAGGCTCGTTTAGAGTTTGCAAATAAATACCAATACTGGACCGATGAGTGGCACAATGTGGTCTTTAGTGATGAAAAAAAATTTAATTTAGACAGTCCAGATAATTGCAAAAAATAATGGCGTGATTTACGACAGGATCGGGTATTTAATGGATATTTATGGTAATACACCTAGAGTGTGCTTCAGGAACAAACTCACTGATAATACAAACTCACTAGTAGATTTTTAGGCTCAATTTTCACTCAAATTCTCAGAGCGACATTAGTGAGACAATATGAAGCAAAGAGGATATAAATATATTCACATATAATAGTAGTGAACATATGATTCTAAAGGCACGATTTGAAACTCCTGTTAGAAATAGAAAAGAACTTTTAGTTTTTGCATATTTGGAAATGCTTTCGTTAAACTATTAAAACTTAAATACTGATAATTTATTTAATATAAATTAATTAATTTATTATATATTGAATAGACTTTAATGATACCAAAAAGTATATAACCAAACAGTATGTTTATATACTCTTTGGTGATACTTACCACTTTTTATATATATGGTGTCTGTATCACTATATCCGCAGTCTAGCATGAAACAACAGTATTTTCATTTTTTCTTGAAAAAATCAAACAGAAACAACAAATAGAAACAGCACTAAAGAATAAAAATACTTATTGAAAATTTTAATTAGTATGGCCGTGTGCGAGTTTGAGTGAATTGAGGTAAAGTAAATTGAAATTTCCTAGGGATTTTTTGCACTCCAATTATGTAAATATTTATTTATTTATTTATTGCACTCATTTATTATTTTTGGTTAAAAGTTTTAAAATTTATTTATTAAATATCTTATAAAATTTTTACAATGGTATCACCTAATTTACCTAATTTTTGTCTTATTTACCCTAATCGAAATTCTGGTAAATACCAACATTCCCTGCCATGCCGACATAATTTACTATTTACCTCAATTTACTCGAACTCGCACACGACTTATATGTTGTTTTATCAAAAATATTATATGTCCACATATTATAACACAACTGTCTATTAAGGACCAAAATCTATTGATTGGGCTAATATTTTTATTCAAAACTTCTTTAATGAATGGGAATTGTCATACGGGAGTTGTATGAGAGTAATAAACAAAACTACAATAATGAGTTTTATTTAATTCACAACAATTATTTCAATATACACATCAGTTTGTTAATAATATAATTAATATTATTACGCGTGGAAAACAAATTTGTGTTCTGCAACGAACAAAGAATATCCAAAGAAAATATGTCCAATATTTGAAATGTTCTTTGGTGTGTAAAAAAAGAAAAAACAGTATGCCACAGGATAGTATATATCATGACGTGGCTAATTGGAAAAAAAATTTTTTTCTGATTGTGCAAAGTATAAAATTTATTAAAAAAGTTGTGCTGTTTTAATAAAGATAATTCTGAATATAGGTATTCTCTTAAATGGCTGACTTAAATTCTACTATTCAAACCAAGAAACCAAAAAAACCTAAACGAAAATGTAAAAAAAATAGCATATTGGTAAGCTGAAATATATCGGATACTGCACATGAATGTGCAAATGTGCATATATAAAACAAATATTTCTTTACAGTTGATGATCATGAACCTACCACCCTCGATGACCGAAAAAGAATTTCTCGAACAGGCAGGTGAAGTCCCCGAAAACTATGATTTCCGTTTTTTTGATGCAGACTTGTCTTTAGAAAATGCAACAAGTAATGTACAAATTGAAATTGATGGAAAATATTTACATAAATTTCTTAATATATATGATGGATACAATTTTGTCGATCAAAAAGGTGTGACCTATTTGTCATATGTTGCATGTGATCCACCGCTGGAGCAGACTATTGAAAACTCCACCACACGCAAAAATTTGACAAATAATTGCACTAAAAAAAAGTCTGCAGTCATTATTCCAACACAGCAAGCGATGGAACACAAAAGTCAGAACAGCCTTAAGGATCACGTTCTCAAGATCGGTGATGAGAACACTACGTGTGGAAAGACGGTTGGTTTTGTTAAAGAGGATGCAAGTAAATTTAAACCCAAAAGTCATTACAAATACAATGCAAAGGGTTTGAATACGAACACTACTCCACCTACAAACGTTAGTAATCTTGGCCTGGGTGCAAAAGTACAACTATCACAACGGAGTGCTACAGAAGCTCTCCGTGTACCAACGGTTAAGGATGAAATTCTCAAAATTGGTGATACATCACCCACGGTGAATGCTGGTCCCAAATGTGGAAAGATGGTTAAATTGGTTAATGACGATGCAAATAAAGTTAAAATCAAAAGTCATAAAATAAAAAATGCAAAGGGTTTGAATAAGAAAACTTCTCCACCTACAAATGTTAGTAATCTTGGCCTGGGTGCAAAAGTACAACTATCACAAAGGAATGCTACACAAGCTCTCCGTGTACCAATGGGATATAAAAAAGGTGCGGTAGATCAGAAAGGTCAGTCTGACGTTAAGGATCACGTTCTCAAAATTGGTAATACATCATCCATTGAGAATGCTGGTCCTAAATGTGGAAAGATGACTAGATTTGTTAAAGAGGATGCAAATAAAGTTAAGCCAAAATGTTATAAAAACAATTTCAATGCAAAGGGTTTGAGTGAAAATGTTTCGCCATCTATAACTGTTGGTAACAAAGGCCTGGGTGCAAATCTACAACTATCACAAAGGAATGACAAATTGCAATATGGGAAAGGCAAAAAGCTATACAATGATCAGAAGTTTGTTAAGAAATATGGCAAGGTAATGAAGTCTGCTGGTGAAACTTTGGAGCAAAGTGCAAAGCAAAATGGAAAATCCCCAAATCAAGTAAAAGTTTTTAATAATGACGGCAAAAATGAGAAGAAGACATTTGTGGGTTATGGTAATGATAGGATTGATAATCCTAATGTTGTATTGTATTCTAATGGCGAACATGGTTTTAGTGGTTTTAATGGTAAGTAAAAACACAAATATACAGAAAGTGATCATATATACAATATTAAATCGTTTATTTAAGGTGATGACAAAAAAGAAAGGAAGCGCTCTAATATTTATGATGGAGCTAAAAATCGTAATGTCGTGTCAAAGTCCAATCTACCTGCTGGCGGTAGTGTTGGAAAGAATTTTAAATTCTTGAATGGAAAACAGTTGTATAATAATAAATCCAAAGTTTTTGAGAATGGCAAGAAAGATAAACAGATGTTTGTGAAAAATTATGAAGTTGGCCATAAATATGAATCTCACGAGTCTGATGGAACAATGGAACTTCGCAGCGGTAAAAGGAATGTAAAAATTTCCAAAAAAAATTATGGAGAACAAATTATTGGAGAAGAAAAGTAATTCAAATTTGACGAATTGAAGTTGTATAATAGGAAGCAAAAAAACTAAATAATATATCAATAATACAGCTTTTTCAACATTTAACGGAACACAATTTTTTTAAAAACTTAACAAAATTTTTCATACAATATCAAATTTCCTGTTCATTATTTGAAGTTAACTACAGGAAAATGTGCCGAGTCTAAGGACAACAATGAACAACACTTCAGAAGAAAATCATAGTAACACTTTTTAAAACTTTTTAAAAACAACGATACAATTTTACATTAACTAGAGACTCATTTTATGCTTAATGCATAAACAATTATTTTTATAAAATGTTGCTATGAAAGAAAATAAAAAATTAAAAATATATATGTTTTCAATTGTATATAATTCAATCGGACCAATGCCCTACATCAAAAAATAATCAAGGAATCATAGGTTTGTTTGCTCAGTGAATTTGTGTCTCAGAGATACAGGGATGCGACAAGGTCGATAAGATCTATTATACGAGTATTGCTTTCAGATAATAATATTCCGCTAGTTCTTATTTACGAACGAAGACAGTAATAAAATTGGAAGTATAACTACTATACTGACACTTCAACCAACCATCCTACTAGTTTAGGTGAACCACATATCTTTGGATCCTATAAGGTAAAATCTGCTGTTCTTTTTTATTGATTATAGAAATTATGAAGGAAAAAATTTGATTTTTAAAAATTGTTTTCTGATTTTATCAATTATTTAAATTACTTATCAAATAAAAAAGTAAATTTTTATTTAAGCAGGATATATAACAATACTAAAGCCTTTCTTTCATGTTTTTTTTTTTATAATAACAAAATATATTATAAGATATTATGAATAACAAGGTTAATTTTTTTCAAAGATTCTGAATTTTATTAAATAACCTATATAAGTTCAAAGTTTTTGGGATTTGTTTTTAAACCGTTTTACATCACTATATATAAAGTACATCTCCAGAAATAGGATTTTATACACATTATCTGCAGTTAGTCCTTTCAAAGTAACACTGATATTTTTTTTTCATTCGAAGTTGAATACAAATTGAATATCTGAAATACTCTCGCTCTTTATATGTTTGTGAGGATTGCTGTAAGTAGTCCAGGTCTACTTACAGCTTTAATAAAAATGTGAAAATATGATGGAAATTGTTTTTATGGTTTCTAATGAAACAATATATTGTAAGGGCAAAATTATTTTCTATTTTCCAACTTAGGAAGTGAAATGCATAAAAAATTCTTGTTTATATCCGTAGAATTAAAAAGAAGAAGAAGGTGGGAAAGAGAAAACAATATTCCCCTTACTTTATATTATTTCACTAGAAATCATAAAAACAATTTTCATTTTATTTTATTTTACATATTTTTTTACAGCAATCATATATTATAATATATGATTATGTATATATTTTATTATAAAATTTTATGCAAGAAGAAATGTTTTAAATATTTTCACTTCTGCGACAAAACTTAATCACTTAAACAAATTTTGTTAGAATGTAATTATAATAAAATATTTTTTATTGTACAAATGGGCGTTTCTTAATTGAATGAAAAATGTATGAGACCATTATATTGCGGAATATATGAGCAGTCATAACGTTGCTTATTATGGAAACCAGACTTATTAGTGAGAAGTGCTCCCCCACATATGCGTGAGCTTCGCATACGCATAATTTACACAATTTTCAGGCACGCAAACTGCTGCTTACAGAAAAACTTACACAAATTAAAAGTATAAAAGGTGATAATCCCCTATGTCTGTCAAGTTAAATTACTTATTAAACCAAAAAAAAAAAAACAAAAAAAAATTTATATGCAATACATTTTTCAGTAAAGTCTTCAGTAAGGCAGAATATTAGACAAACTTAAAGGATTCCTTTCAGTACTGACGGTTAGATTTGTTTGTAAATAAAATAAATTTCTGGAACTTAATTGAATGCATATAAAAAAAATTAATAAAAATTAAGTTAAAAATTGTGACTACACCGTAAAGAAAAATATTCGAAGAAATATATATAAAAAATAAAAAAAATTTAAAAAAAAATATTTATTTCTAACTCACATTCCCTAAAATGCAATCAAAAAGAATATATAAATCTAGGACTTAATCAAGTCGTTTAAAAATACCATCAGTGCTCTCAAAAGAAACAAACATATGTTGCAGCTCTCTTTGCAGATAACTCTAGAAAGAAGAAGAAAGAAGCGCTCCACTCTAGATATGCATAGATCGCTTTAAATGCGCTTCAAAAGATGACTATAGAATATAGAAATCCGAATATAGAATACAGAATAGAATATAATAAATAATGCACCGAAAGTATATAGATCACTTGGTATTTTTAGTAATTATAGCAGCAAAGAAATATAAAACAGTAAATTAGTGATCCAAAACATAAGAAAATTATTTGAAGGGAATCGAATAATTATTCTGGAATAATTTAAAGCTATTAATAATAGGTGTGCACTTATAATAATAAATCCTTATTAGTATATTTTTGTCTTCAGTGTATTATATCAACACTATCACAATTTACTATGCAACAAGAATTGTCATTATTAATACAAAATTCATACAAAATCAATATTAAATGCTCTTATAGGGTTCAATAATTGTGGATATAAAAAATATATAAAAATATATAAAAAAAAATATATATATAAAAAATATATAAAAAATATGTGTGAAAAGTATAAAAATACATATATATAAAAAATATATATAAAAAATATACATAAAAAATATACATAAAAAATATATAAAAGAAATATATAAAAGAAATATGAAAAATATATACATAAATAATTTATAAAAATTATGTTAAAAATATATGAAAAAAATATGAACAATATATTTGAAATATATAACAAATAAATAAAAAATATATAGACTATATATTAAAAATATGTAATAAATATATAAAAAATATATGAAATATGTACAAAAAATATATAAAAAATATATAAGAAATATATAAAAAAAATTACAAATATATAAAAAATATATATAAAAAATATACATAAAAAATATATAAAAGGAATATGAAAAATATATACATAAAAAATTTATAAAAATTATATAAAAAATATATGAAAAAAATATGAATAATATATTTGAAATATATAACAAATAAATAAAAATTATATAAACTTTAATTAAAAATATGTAATAAATATATAAAAAATATGTGAAATATGTACAAAAAATATATAAAAAATATATAAGAAATATATGAAAATTATATAAAAAATATATGAAAAACGCGTCGTTGGACCGTTGTGCCCAATTACCTGCTATATTATTACGTATTATACGGACTAAAATATCCTCTTTTCGCAGAGACTTATGTCCCCTTTTCGAAACCGCTTTCGAATTACTGCGGGGAGGTCATCTTTCATAACGTTGCAAGCCATGGTCTTTTGACTTTTGATTTGAATTACATAGTAACCATCATAAAAAGATTTATTCAGCTCCAGCTTCAGAAGCTTCAGATTCCATCGCTTGGATATACCTTTAACTTTAAAAGATTTATTAATATGAAGTAAGTGTGTTTTATATTAAAAGCGTTTTTCCGACAAGCTTTAATATTTTGTACTATTAATAAATTTAATAATGCAACAAGTTATTCAATAATTAATAATTTATTTATTTAGTTTTATTTATTTCTAAATTTTATAATATATTTAAATTGAATTCTTTGCTGAATCAAATGTCATCCTTTTCGATGTCATTCATATTAAACAAGCACTGACTGTACATCCAACTAATTGCATATAAGAGAGTGCATTTAAATAATATTATATATACTTTGGAAACGCATTATAAAATCACAAATAATATTTTAACATTAATTTTAAGTTTTTATAATTGAACAAAGGTAAGGGTTCGCTAAGGTTAAATGTATTTACATAACCTCAAAACTGAATTAGGACTATAAACTATTTAGCCGAAAATCATAATATATAAAACCTAAATGTATTTTATAGGAGCTTATGTCGAATTGAAATATTCACTATAAACTAACTGCTTTATGGTAGTATGTAAGCACGGAATTAATATTGACTACTGAGAAATACGAAAAAAGTCTTCTGTTCCAAGCCCGTTTGCATGCAGGCTAGGCGGCAAGTAATCTAAAGGAAACTGAATGTTAAAAGTATCCGTTGGCTTAACGTAGCATACATTGCGGCTGAATCTCATTTAGAGATGGCGTCAGCAATACACGCACTTTACACACACACACCCACCCACCCACATATACATCGAAATAATAAAAATATATCATGTAAAAGCGTTTTTTACTTATTTTTCCTTATTATCCTTAAACTTCAATTTGTTTTATTTATACACACACATATAAAAATGAGTTTATTTGTTTGAATATTTAAATATAAATACGTAGTCGTTTGTTTATATTTATGTGCATATATATGAATTGAAGGAATGAATATGTGTAAATATATATATGTATGTATGTATTTAATATATAAGTGTAATATATTTGTTAGTTGTTCTTATTAATTCGATATATTTACAAATATTTTTGTAACCTTTTTGAAATTTGCATTTGGCGGCAATCGTGTTAATGGCAGTTAGTGTTTGGTGTTGCCATTGTTACAACCACGTCCTCCAGTCTTTCAATTTTTATAAAGGATTTGCATTTTAGTAATGTGACACAAAATATGTTAAAAAAAAAAAATGGTACGTGAGTGGTTTTGTCATTCCACGTCCACACATACAAACGCTGGCACATTTGCATTCATAAACATATTTAAAAAATATTTTTATGTGAAATTTACGCTTCACTTCGAAAAGCAGCGAAAAATGAAATCTTATTTGCATAAAATATGTTGTATACTTTAAGGCTTTTAACGTTATTACTTTTGATTACATTTCTTTCGTACTTAGTTTTGTACTTTCACATGCAAAAATCACATATTCATATTTTGGCTTTGAAAAATTAATTATAATTTGTGGTTCCACGATGTAAGATCAAACAAGAAATCACAAATAACTGCGGAGGAAGAAAAAAAAACTCTGCGGATTATGAAAGGAAAACAAAATGAAATTTGTTATTGTGGTTTCCTATTTGGTTTTCGGAAATTAAAAACAAAAAAATTACAGGAACAAAAAAATTATTTAAATTAAAATAACAGTTTCAAAGCGAATGTAGGAAAGTAATTAAAAAGCCTAAATGTAGACTTCATTCAATCATGGATATTTTTTTTCTTCATCATATATTGTGTTTGTGTAGGTTGGAAATTATTTTAATAAAAAATATTATGTTTAAAAACATTTGTATTAAATTATTTTTTTCTACTATTAATATGACTGTTCTTAGTGAGGTTAAATCAAATAATATTGGGTTATACATTTTGTGGTTTCAAGAGCAAAAGCGAATAAAGCACACTCGTGATGAAGATTTTGATGACATTTTAATTTAAAATTTAATGTGTGCATCAAGTCATAAAGTGTCAAATAGCACATCATTTACAAATCATAAGATTTTTTAAAGTATTAAACCAAATTTTGAAAGTAATGATCAACAAACTCTATATGATACATACACTCATCGAAATGTTATACAGAGAAACCAATTAGTTTTAGGTTTCTTTCTAGAACTCTTTCCACTAGTTTTCTAAATAGGATTTTTTAAAATATTAAACCAAATTTTGAAAGGAATGATCAATAAACTCTATATGATACATACACTCATCGAAATGTTATACAGAGAAACAAATTAGTTTTAGGTTTCTTTCTAGAACTCTTTCCACTAGTTTTCTATATAAATAAATAATATATATGTTATGTATATATACATATATATTATAACTTATATATTATGTTACAATAGTTCTAAATTTGTTTTTATGTCTACATACTGTGCATTTATGCAATATAAATTTTCGAATTCATATATTTTTATGCAAAAATCCAAAATAAATATTTTCATTTATGTATCTTCCATAAAATATTAAATTTTAAAATTTTAAAAATTTAATTATTTTTTCTTTTTCTGTTTTTTTTAGGATGGAGCATCAACGTTCACAACTATTGTTAATATCCATCTCGTTACTGTACTTGTTTCGTGCCACGGCTGATTGTTGGAAATTTGATGGCGGTGGTCTAGCAGGCAATAGTAAGTTTGGTACTGGGCATGGCGCTAGCGCACGCCTACCGCGTAGTCTGGCAGGTGCACGTGGTCCACCACCTGCTGTACCAGGTAACAGCGGAAGTTTTGCTGCAATTTTGAGTGCACAGCAACAAGACATGCTCTATGCTTGTCCCCTTAATAGCATGTGCCAATGCGCTGGACTACCGAACGAAACATCAACGTTAATTGAGATAAATTGCAATGAAGTTGCATTGTATAAGTTTCCAGGTGAGTGTCGTCAATTTGTTTATTATATTTATTTATAAACACACTGTTTGCTGTCGATGAGGCACAATATTTGTCTCGTATGCAGTGGAAATGATGATGTTGTGTACAGGAACTCCTTGGCGAGTTCCCCTTGACAGACTTATTATTTAGTTATGCAGTACCTTGCACTGCAGACACAAAAACTCATATCGGTTTATAAATAATTAATTGTGCACCTTTGTCTGGCTGCAGTGCATCGTTATGCACCGTATCGCATCGTATCGCATCGTATCGCATCGTATCGCATCGCATTGCAGGTGCAAACGTACGTAGGTGCATTTCCATGTTGACTTTCAGCTTAACACGATGAACATTTTGGCTTGGAAGCGTTCAAAAATTTTTTTTTATGACTTTATGTTGTGTTGTGTCCTTTTTACATTTTTATTTTGTCATGTTTTATGCGGTCCAGCCGCATAAGGCATTCGCTTTTTTTCCAGTGACTGTGGTTGCGTAGCAGATAATGGTATTTGAATGTTTTACCAACTTAAACACATCCTATATAAACGCATATACGTATAGTACATCCCTTACACACGTACAACACATACACAAAAAAACAACACATACGCGTATTGGATGTGCATGTGTTTGTACACGAATACTAGATCCTGTAAAAAGGCGCAATTTAATGGCGACAGGCATAAAAATGTGGTGTGTTGCGCAGGTGGGCGAAGTGGTTGGAGTAATTCGTGGTTCAGTGAGCTGGCATGTCCCTGCACCAACAGCACAACCACTGCGTGTCCTGCATTAAAGTGGTTTTTATGGTTGATTGCGCTGATTGCGGTGAAAACGCAATTTGCTTTTTGGTCGTCAGGATATAGGCAAGTTTGTATAAAAGTTGATGTATTTTGTATACATAAAACAAACACAAATACACAACTAATAATACATTTACATTTATTTTTAGTTGCGGTGAGTTCCTGTACACGCACACACGTACACACGCACTAGTAGTTGATCACGTGTGTGCATTTATGCGCGACCATACCTTTGTTAACATTTCGACAGTGCAAGGATTAACGAAAAGCACGCTCCAATGGAAAGTATCGACAGCAATGAGACTTCCTAGCACGCGACCTTTCACGCTCCTGGCCTGCATGTGTGTATGCGCTTCTGATGCGCTTGTTTTTATGCACTCAAAGCAGCTGCCATTCACATCTGCGAAACAATTAAACTGCAAAGGCCATTATGTGCTACGTATTCCTACGTATTCCTACGTATTCCTTGTTGGCCAGGATTCGTTTAAGCTTAAGTCTGCGCTTTAATGCACGGCGAGTCTTAAAACGAGACAATTTAAATAAACTCCACTCGATTTCTGCATTTAATCTGCATGACTTTCGTGAAGCTATAAAATAAATTGAGTTATAAACCTGAGATAAGATTGATTTAAATATTGTATAAAGTTCCTGACTTAAGAACTTCAGATAAAAAAAAAAATAATAATATCGTGAACTGTTCATTTCTAAATGGCAAATTAAACTTAGTTTACTTTAAGTGCTGACATAAAGAGGAATAATGTCACCTTATTCATAATTGATTCACTTTTAATACAACTCTTTATTTAGTCTAAATAAAATGTTCATACCTTCTGCTCAAAGTATCCGGATTTTGTTGTTTATTAACTACTCCATAAGTAATAAACCTTTTTCAAAATTTTTTTTTGTTATGTTGGTATACCCTTTCTTAACATATGGTACAAATTTGAGCGCCATCTGTCAATTAGTTTGTTTACAGCAACTGTTAATGTGAGACTACTACAAGTGCATTTACCGATTTTTACTATGGAAAATTCTTCTTGTACGCGATTTTTTGACCAAACACGGCACCACTGTCATCGCTCAGACACCATATTCGCCAGATCTGGACTCGTGCGACTTTTTCCTGTTCCCGAAACTCAAATTGCACCTTCGTGGTAAGCGTTTTGAGTCGATTGAATCAGTAAAAGAGAATTCGCTGAAGAAACTAAAAGCCATACTTTCACGACCCTACGAAAAGTGTATGGAAGATTGGGTTAGAAGATTGCGTAGGCATAAGTGTATCGCTACAGAAGGAGCATATTTTGAAGGAGATAAAATAAATTTAGAATAAAATTTAAATTTGTGTGTTTTATTTACAAAATCCGAATACTTTTTGAGCAGAAGGTACATGTGATGCTGAATTAGTTAAATAATCAAATCATGACGATTGATTTGATTTAATATATTTTTTAACATGTTTAAAACAAAATTTTTCATTTAGACTCTACAGAAGACTTGATTTTTTCTATCAGATTTTAAACCAAATTCGTTCACAAAAATAATTTTTTTGATATTCGAAGAATTTTGAATCCGTTAACCTTTTCAGTGAAATACTATCTACCATTTTAAATGGTGAATACTTGATTCTTCTCACTATTTCTGTTTTTGAAAAAAAATGAAAATATTGAGCAAGTAAACCAAAATTCTACTATACTATGTGAATTAATAATTACCTGATTTCATGACAGGTGGCAACGTCAGAACAAAATCAATTATAATTTGTATATCGGGAGAGTTCTCAACAAAAGCTGTAAAAGTTTTGACTTCATCAGATGCAAATAATTGAAATAGTGCACCTTAGCGATTTCTTATAATGGAAAAAATGGAAAAAAGTGAATATCGTTCAGTAATAAAATTCGTCCATTTGAAAGAAATCAAAAATGATGCAATCAAATTGGAAATGGATTCTGCCTACGGCAACCTTGGACCATAGTTAACAACAATAATATATTAGAAAGCTGAATTTAAATCTGGTCGTACGAGTGTTTTTGATGAAGAGCGTCTAGATAATCCAAAAGAGGTCACAACTGAAAAAAAACATTGAAAAAATCTACGATATTGTGTTGGATGATCCAAAAATTAAATTATGTAAGATAACAGATAGCAGAGATGACAAACATATCATACGAATGTGTATCGAATATTTGACTTGAATATTTGGATATGAAAAAGATGGTTATGGGTTCCGCGTTTGCTCACAATTGACCAAAAACGATAACGACTTCGTCATTCAGAATATGGTTTGAAAATGTTTATACACAATCTAGCTAAATTGCTGACTGTGAGCGTCAATTGTGAAGTAGAGACAATTGATGAAAAATGGATCCATTACTTCACACCTGAGAGAAAATAACAAACCAAAGAATGGGTTGAGCTCAATCGGCAAGAAAAGTTTTGGTTTACGTATTTAGGTATTCAAGTGGAATAATATTCATAGAGTATTTGAAAAAGGGAAAGCAATAACATCAGAATAGTAGTCTGATGTCATGATATTTCATTTCATTAAAAAAAATTTGTATATATTTTTTAGTTTTATTAAGCTTAGCTCAAACAGCATAATAGGAATATAACGAAATTTATTATTAATTGCTTTATTTATCAGGAAAATTAGTTTTTTTATATGTCAAACAAACTTGGTGTAAATCTTCTAATAATATATATAGTCTCGTACTGTACATGCATATCATTTCATAAGTAACACTTTGATTGATACTTGCTAGAGAAGAAAGAGAACCAACACTATAGACATCCAAACTTTTGTAGCCTTGTCCTACGATCTGTTAAGAGAATTCTTTACAAAAAGCAAAAGAAATCTTGGGACTTACTGATGTTATAAGTAATAAAAATACTCCAACGCCATATACCTAACTATAGTATATGGCTTGTCAACTACTCACTTTAACATAAAATTATTAATTATTAATTCCTTTTTTTTTTTAAACGAGACAACGAGACAATAAAGTTCAAGGAACGTAATAGGCCTATTTTTGGTAGTAGAGGATGACACTCCTTTAATCAAGCAATCAATCAATAAAAATTAGAAATGCGTCTAAATTATTTGGGAAAAAACTATTGCTGAGCTATTCAATAAACACTGTTTTAAACGTTCGATATTTTCTATTTACAAAATACCCACACAAAAGTATATAAGACCCGTCTTTTTAAAATTACAAGATACAATTTACAAGATAGATGAATATTTTTTGGAAAGTTATATCATGTTTGCACTTGTCTCATTTGGGCAGTTCTGCTCATTAAGGCTGCTAATGAGGATAATTCAAAGATCATTCAAATAAATGAACTCATTATAAATAAATCAACTGATTTAAGTCGTAAAATGTCGAATGCAACTCTTAAAAATAAATTTCCTATAGGGGAAGTTACCAAAGTTTGAAATATTTGTCATATGTTTTATATACGTATGTAGAATTAAACAAACAAATTATGTTGCATGCATAAATTAGCTTATGCAGATGGAAACGACCAAATCTTTATTTCATCAAGCGAACTAGTTTTAGTTGCAATGGAAACATGCAACTACTTTGGTCGGTTTATATTTTCTAAAGCAGTGGATATCAAGTAATTTTGATTTAAATTAATTTGTTTTTAATTTAATATAGCATTAAGTAAAATATTTAAAGACTTATATTGATTAAAATAAATAGTGCAGGCCTATTAGTTAAGATTGAGTTCACAATTTTTAATACAATAAAATTTCGATTTATCATAAATTATGAACAGCCTAATAAATTCAGTTATTTCGAAATTACTTAGTTGCTAAAATATTTTCTTAATTAAGTTATTAAATATACGAAATCGAATTTACGATACTTTTTACGAAATTAGTAAATTCTATTTAATTAATTAATTTTAAGAACTCAATTTATTTATGATACTGCGAAGTGCTATGGAATTATGGAATTCAAATATTTATCATCTTCGTAATGCTCTGCCTTTGCCTCTGCCTCCTAAGTGGATGCTTTTCAGGAGTGGGTTTAACTACGCATATTTATTAAAAGAAGATTACACAAACAATAGGCTTTTGAGGGCTTAATTGAACTTTTATGTTGTGTCGCATTGTGCTGAGTTGTGTTGTGGCATTGTTACTTCGCCAGGAAAGTTTAAAGTCCTTAATTAGCTGCCAAGCAATTTCGCAATTAATTA